ATATATATATATATATATATATATATATATATATATTACACAGTCGCGTGAGGTCACATTGAGAGAGATAAAGATATGGCATCGCACGAATGGAAAGACGATATACGACCAAGGAAGAATTGAATATCAGGCTGTGCACTTAGTTCGTGTCACGGAAAGGGCAGTGATGACGAAAGAACCAGTGGATGCGAAAATCACAGCCAACCAACCGGTCATGCGATTCAATTCTTAGAATGTTAATAATTCCTGTCTGTTGCATTTGGTCTACGACACTGTTAAACGATTGATTTCGAAGTCCCGGATCTCGTGCCCACAAGCAAGATCTCACTGGTTCGCACAAAAGGACACTCATGATCTACCGTGAGTTGTCACAACACCCGAAATCAGTAAACTAACTTAGAAGTGACTTGAACACGATGCAAACATCTCCGTTCGACATGCAGAACTGAGTTCATTCTTAACTTCATCAAATGTATCGGTCTTCAGCGACCTGGAATAGCTTGAAGTCTATTTCTAGCTTTTGTTTCGACAAAAAAAGGACTGGAAGTATTTTTACAGTGTAGGTTTTTTTCGAAAAGTGCATTCTTCGATTGAGTGGAAATCATACTACTGATCCCAGCAGTAAAACCTTATGCCTATCTGAATAACACTGTCCGGCGAACGAAACCAGACACCATCTGAGATTACAAACCAGAGATCGCTTAATTGTTGTTTCTTTTGCAAATGGAACCGATGGTTATATCAGCGAGCAACTTTAAATTCACATCCGACTCGACCAATATTTATGGGTAGATTGACTTAAAGCAAGGAGATTTGTAATCTACGGTCATCGAATGCATACTGATTTTTTCATATTTGCCCTAAAAAGGGAATACAGTAGGGTGAAATTTTGTTGTGCAACAGTCCATGCTTCAGCTTGATAGAATAAGAAGGAAACATTGCTTACCTGTGCCGGATTTGTGATAATTGGGCTCGGTTTTATCCGTTCGAATACGCAACACCTTCCAGCCCAGACCAGGCATGAAAGAGCATTCGACTATTTTTCCATCAAGCATTTTATCCTTCGGTCCAACGTGGGCCAGTTTCGCGGACGGTGTATTAAGTCCGCCCAGATACAGATGTCCAACGTAGCCTGGAATCTCACTAAATATGAAGAGAATATATCGGACACAAGATGGGTAAACCTGGTTTAGAAAGAAAGCCATTCTTAACTTTAATCAAATGTGATAATTTTCAAGAAGTGAAACGATCGTCCACGTTAGTTCAATACGATTATCTCCCGCAGGGAGCGAGTCAACTCTATGGATATTCTCGGGATACAACTTAGTGTCCCCAGCCCCGTTCGTGGCAATTTTTCCTCCCGCTCACCTAGACTGAAACAAGAGGCACCTCACTCGACCATTTTGTTCGACGTTACACCTCTGACATTTGCACATTTCATTGCAATCCAAATGGTTGCTGTGAGCCAGTCGGTTGCCTATTGAGTGACTCTTCCGAAATACCATATAGAATAGACGAAACACGACGGCTGTGACAACGGAAATGTGTCACTTTTTAATCGAAAGTAAATAAAGATCCTTCGATTAGACAAATTTACTTTCCCGAAGATGCATATTTTAATCAGATTAACGCTTTCTGTAACACGGTGGATACAGTCAACTAAAATCGAATGAAATCGGGAACGGAGAACGATGGGAAAATTTCTGGTTTCACTATATGGAAACTTGATGCATACGCAAAAACTTTGAACTCTGATTAATATCATGATATCATTGCGGAGCATCCCAAATTTTGTACGGCAATCACGATCGCCCACCGGGGGCAAGTGGTTGACCCCTATGGACTACGTTGACTGAGGCATAGATTGCACTTACCACCGAATAGATTGCAACGGCATACGCTGTTTGCCCAGTTAGGCAGTGGATAGCAAACAGTGAAGAGTGTTCAAACTGACATAAACCTGAGATGAGGGTATGAAAACCCCAACCAGGAAGCTAACTGACATATGCCCTTCCTGGATGGGGAATCTGGATCCGCGTATACAACGGTTAAAGACACTGTGTGACATGATTGGATATCGCAAACAGTGGCGCTCATGCAACTACTTATTATCTTCGCAACAAGCAGTCTCTATGAATTCTCTATCTTCTCTCAGACCTTCTCTAAACATTACAATTTTCATTCCGATCTTTTAACCCGATAGTAGGCAAAAGAGAGCATTCAAAACCCGCGCACGAAGGTGCACGATTTATGGTCGTAAAAACTGAACTGAACTTTTTATAGTGATTCAAATCGTAAAATACTTTATGCGCGCATCCCTCATTAAAAAGTATACGTTTGTTGGATCCGTCCTCCGCGGTTCTCACGCTTTTCGCAATTCAATTTTCAAATTTTAGAATCATAAATAAATGGATAGTGAAATAAATAGACTGACAGTGTAAAACAATAAATTACAGGAATTAATTAATCTCACACGGAAATAAGAAATTGTGCCACTTACACTTACCCAACTTTGGCCTCATGCACGATTTTGCAACGAAAATCAATGGTGTTCAAATGAGGAGGTTTCCATTTCAACTGCTGAGGACACGTTCCTAGAACATAGAACTCGTCCGGACCGCAAGGTTGAAAAATCAAACCGTCAGTAACGTGATCCAAACGCTGGGTAAACTCCGGTTTTAACAGCTGTTACAAAAGTAAGATAACATCTTAGATATTCGGTGTTCGAAGAAGGTCGTTCACGAATACAAGGGCATATGAACGCAATGCTTCCTTGATGCACAGATTTAATTTAGGAGTATTTTATTGCAGCAATCAGTTACTCCTGTGAGATTAACTGAATCGGAAGATCAGGCTTCGAGTATAATAACAATACAGGATAAAGCCGGTATATCCGTTTCATATTTTCTATCGCTGAATGACGGAATTCCGCTTTAAAAATAATTCAACTACAACACAGTGATCAAAATATAACGCTTCGTTTCTTGAATTATCAGATAGCGTTAGTCGTTGGAGTGCCACGAGGTCTCAAATTCAAACTAATTCAAAATTTGAACAGATCGGCGATACTTGCTGATTACTTCTCGCAAAGATATCAGTATGTTCAATTGGGAAGAAGACAGCCAATCGCATCACTCAATAAGTTGGGGTGTACTTCAAGGTGCTGTCCTATCATCCTATCTTTTTTCTACTTATATCAGTGACTTACCTGTTACTCTCTCTGTTCGACATTTGAAGTATGCTGATGATATCGTCATTTCTGTTTCCGTATCTGATCAATCAGAACTGGTGAAATAAACTAAAAACTCATCCCACCTCGTTTCATATTCCATTTCATCCGGTCTTAAGCTTAATCCCGAAAAATGCATTGGATGTATTTTAACTCTAAACCGTTTCCCATCTCCCTCTAACAATGCACAGATTCATGGACAGCCGATGAGCAGGGTCAGACATGTGAAGTACTTAGGTGTCACACTTGAAAGTAATCTCCGCTGGTCTTTATACACCCAAACTGCGCCACTTCTGTTCTGATCTTTCGGTGATAGACGCACTTGTTCAACAATGTGTTCTCCTTATACTCCTTTACTGCTCCCTGGTAATCTTCCCTGGTTTGTTGGAGGCTGAGGCGTGGTGTTTCAATGATTGGCTGTCTCCCAAGATCCCTTATCTGTTCTCATTGGCAATATGTGATATGCTCATATTGATACGTGCTTGAAGTTTGCTGACAATATCCTATCTGATCGCATCTATCCTTTACACACTGACTTGTGTGCATGCAAATCCCACCCCTTCACCAGTTCTAAGTACAAACTTATCCCGTCTCGCGTATCTGCATACAGAAACTCTTTGGTACCCTATCTTGCCCGGAATCTGACCGATAAGGAAAGCGTTCATTCTCAGCTTTTTAATGCAATTTATAGTTGATCGATATTGTCGCACGTTTTACATTCCACTTTTTCATCTCTTTTTTTACCAGAGTTGTAACGGTGGTCTAGTTTTGGCTGAAACTATGTATATCACTCGCTAAAGCTTCAATACAATACACACGGTCAATCGGTGCGCCACTACCACGATGTCTAAGTTACAGACGGACTATCAAACCGGTACACAGAGAACAACGGAAGCATGAAATGTCAAGGAATGAGTATGGATAAGACACGTGAGCAAAAAAGTGGCAGTGTGCGATGAAGCTCCTTCCATTTCTCTGCTTTAAAAGGATTCAATGGAAGACCGTTAGTCTCACCAGCGACCTGTCCCTAACACGTCACTTTCTGTCGCTAAATCACCGTCGAGCAGTCACTTCTTTATCGTTCTTCTGCCTTGGTGAACTAACCGCTCCTGTCCCTTTCCCAACTGGTTCTTCCTCGTAGGTCCCGCTCACAAGCGGCTAGCCACCTATGTCAAGTAACTATCCACAAGTGTCGCATTTCTAACTTTCAGTCATCTTTTGCTCAGGAACAGCACAGCAACCTCCCTTTTTCGGTCGTCCATTCAACTTACAACACCCACACCTTTAAAAGTGAATCAACAAGCATTTTCTAGCTTGAATATTCACTTTACTATTCATTAAACAGTATATCCTTCGATTATGGGGTTAGTCTCGTTTACTGCATTCAATTCTGTGCGATCAGAAATAGGCAGTATTTCTCCTGTACGGTGCTGATACACTGCTACACTACTTAAGAAGCAGTCACATACTACAAAAAAATTAGTTAGAGTAGATTAGGCGAGCCTAATGTGTAACAATAAAGTGAAAATAAACAGATTGAAACAAATACACTGATAACGCACCTAATGATCTGAAGGTAACAAATGGATGAGAAGATCGAGAAAAGTATGGATTTCAGTATTGGAGCACGAAAGCACTGCAACGATACTCTAAGACATATCCGGCAAAACGAGAACCGCATTGCTGTTAAAAAAATGACAGGAGAACAACAACAGGGGCATGTGTTACGCATGTCGCCAAATAGGTTGCCACGGCGAGCGATGTTCGCCGAGGTAGGTGGTGGATGGAATACAGCCGAAGGTGGTCAAGCTAAAACCTGGAATGAGGGTATGAAAACCCTAAACCGGAGACTCGGTCACACAGGCCCCGTTAGGCTCCCTGGATGCTCGTAACCAATGGTTACATACACTGGGCGATATGGCTGGATGTCGCAAACAGTGGCACTCGACCATCATCCCGAGGTCCCCAGCCGGGGAGCCTAACGGGGCCTATGTGACCT